CCCCCTACTTGTTTCACGTTGATCACGTCTATATGGAGAGTGAAATTAGAACTTTAATTTGGTCAAGGGGAACAACGGAAAAATTTGATTGCTTTGTGCTTTTAAAAACATGAAATAATAAAATGAGTTAATTAATAGAGAGAGAGAGAGATGAGTGCTATTAATGATTCGACAAGGTAAGTGCAATTTCTTTGACCATAAGATTAACAAATGAATACACCATGTGCCCTTCTAGTCGTGTGCTTTGCCTTTTGGGGAGATCATACAAGAGATGAACATAAAATATTTAGTAGAATAATAAAAAGGAGAAAAAAATGCATGTGCTCAGTTTTTATATTTTTTTAAAGTCTTTTATTTTTTTAATCGTTTGATTGAAGAAAACAATATCAGCCAAGCTCTTCTTGGTCACAATTTTCTCATGGATGATTGAATAATTGTTATTTATTGGATGGATTAATTGATGGCCAGCCATCCATCTAAAATTCGTAAAGAAAGTCATACTTGTTTAAGTTTCCCTCAATATAGACAAACTTCTGAAAATTTAGAACGACTCTATTTTAAAAAAGAATTTATTTTAAAGAATTAAGGTGTTTCATCAAATTTATGAGGAAAAATATGAGATTTTAAATAGTAATAGAAGCAGTTTCTTTGTTATTGGAAGAAAGTATAAAATTGTAAATTTTCCTCGAAAGCCGGAGCAGAAAATTTTATTTTATGACAAAATTATGCTATCAAAAGTTTTATTTTGACTGGAAAAGATAATTTATTAAAACATTACGGAGTACCAACAGTTACATCATCAACGAAATTACAAGCCTCGAGGACATTCAAATTCCCCGTTTCGGCCAAACTACAACACACATTAGTACTAATATTTTTAACCAAATACACATAACCGTTCTTATCCATTGCTAAGTTATTTAAAACAAAAGGGACAGGATTATCAAAAAGTTGGTGTTTTCGTGCATGCTTGAGTGCTTCCTTAGCCATCCTGTGAGCTACCTTGTTTCCTTCCCGAAAATTATGGTTGATCTTCGGTTGCTTCAGTTGGTGCATTAACCACTTGCAATTGACAATAGTAGAGTTGTAAGGGACACAATTAGAATATAATATTTTGATAACCTTTGTTGCGTCCGTTTCCACCACTGGTGGAGTATAACCATGAGTTAGAATAATTGAAAATCCTTCCTTTAGTGCTTCCAATTCAGCTTGAAGGGGTGAGCTTGAGGGACTGGAGTGTTGATAACCCATTATCCAGTCCCCTTTATGGTCTCTGAATACTCCACCCATGCCTCCCATGTTTGTATTTTCTTTGAAGGCTCCATCTATGTTTAGCTTGAAATAATTAGGAGGAGGTTTGTACCACGCGACCTCAATAGAATAGGACTGGGCAGATAAAGATTCCTTCGTAGTGAGAAGATTATACTCTAAGGCTAGAGAAATTTCATGTGAAGAGTTAAAATTGAGGGTCATGTTACGGTGGTTGTTATTGTTCCCGTTTAACCAAATACTTCACATGACGAATGGGAAAAGCTTCTCCCATGTAAGGTAGGGGGAGGGGGTCGAGGATCTTAGGTTTCTAATATTATGAATCAAGTGAGTGCCCCTTTGTCCAGAAAAACTTAAACCTAATGTAATCCAATAATTTTTATCTATTGTACAAGCTGTGAAGATGTGCTCAATGATTTCATCTTCATTTTTACAAACCGGACACAGTGAATCAATGTTCAAACCTATATAGTTTAAGTATGAGCACGTGGGCAGTCTATTATGAAGGCATTTCCACAGCAAAATTTTTATCTCGTTTGGGCATTGAGTGTCCCAAATCCAATTAAAATCTACCAAGTTAATATCATTTGATTGGATTGCTTTGTAGCAAGTTTTTGTCGAGAAAATACCATTTCCTGTTAATTCCCAATAACAGGTGTCATGACCGCTCTGGAGAGGATGAATGGAGAGGATGGCATTCTTAATATGTCGAGGGAGCTCAAAGGAGATTTTTGATAAGTCTCACTTGTTATTTGACCAAATCTCTTTGATACTAAGCTTCCTACTGGGAATAGTGAGAGGGCCCTCTATTTGATTTCTTAGCAGAGAAGTTTCTGGGATCCAATTCGTTTTCCAGATGTTCATAGAAGAGTTTGAATGAGGGATCCATTTTATACTTTAGTTTCAAACCTCCCATCCTTTTACTAGACATTTCCAAATAAAAAAAGAGATTTTCCAATTTTTGGACGAACCATAAAGGGAGGTGAGAATTTGTGACCAAGGAAGCTTGGGTTTGTGTAAGAGTCTCCATGAAAGGCTAGCTAGGGTCACTAGGTTTTTTTCCTTAGCTGAATGGATGCCAAGTCCCCCTTTCTCCTTATCCTTTGACAAAGTATCCCAAGATAGAAGGTGGATTTTCTTTGAATTTATAGTGGAACCCCAGATGAAATTTTTCTGGATTTTATCAATGTGTTTGATGATCCTAGTGGGCAGGTAGCTATACTGCATGACATGATTTTGAATACTATTTAGAGATGCAGCTACAAGGGTTGTCCTCCCTGCCATGCTAAGAAAATTTAATTTTCACGAAGCTATTTTATTTGCCATTTTATCAAGGATGAACTGGTAATCAGAAAGTCTAGGATTGTTATTTGTAATTGGAAAACCCAAGTATTTACCAAAGCTATTACTAATTTTTATATTAAAAAGCTTAGAGAAAGCTTTTGAGGTGTTGATGAGGCAGTTTTTGGAGACATTAATTTTTGACTTTGTCAAATTAATATTTTGGCCTGATAGTTTGCAAAAGGAGTTCAGGCAATTGAGGATTGAATTAGGGGATTTTTTATCAATCTTGCACATTAGAGTGAGGTCATCCGCATAGAATAGATGTGATAATTGGCACTGATTCCCTCCTATATTGATGGGGGACCAGGTACCAATATCTACATGATGCTTAATTTGGATGGACATCATCTCCATGCAAAGGATAAATATATAAGGAGATAAAGGATCTCCCTGCCTAATGCCTCTACTGGGAGAGAAGAAATTGCTCCTACTACCATTGACTAAGACAGCTATCTTGCTGGTTGTGATACAATTCATAATTAAGGTAGTGATTTTTGGAGGGAAATTAAAATGACGAAGGCTTCTATAAATGAAAGACCATTCTGGTCAAAAGCCTTTTCTAGATCTATTTTTATAACTAGGTTAGCCTTAGCACCTTTTTGTTTGTGCATTCTAAGCATCAATTCCTGAATTATAATAGCATTATCACTAGTACGTCTTCCATCGAGGAAACTAGCCTGGTAAAGGCAAATTAAGTTTTCTAAAAAAGGTTTTAGTCTATTGGCTATGGTTTTTGTGATTATTTTATAAATAGTATTACAAAGCCCAATAGGACGAAATTTTTTCAGATTATTAGCATTAGGGATTTTGGGGATTAGGCAGAGGTAAGTTTCATTTATCCCTTCTTGAAGTTTGCCTGTCTCAAAAGCTTGTTGGCAAATGTTTGTGACAGAGGTACTTAGATACTCCCAATACTTTTGAAAGAAAAATGGATGGAGACCATCCGGCCCGGGTGATTTAAAAGGTTTAACATTAAAAACTGATTTTTTGAGTTCCAACTGGGACAAAAGATTATCTAAGGAGACCAAGTTACAAAATTTGAAGCTAGGAGGGTCATTATTAATTGCTGACCAGTCTGAGTAAATGTGGCTAGTAGTGAAAATTTGCCTAAAGTAATTTTAGGTGTTATCCATGATTTTCTAAGGATCATCTATCCAGTTACCCTCAATATCTTTGAAAAATACAATTTTATTAGTTCTTCTATTGTTGTTGGTACAAACGTGGAAGAATTTTGAGTTAGAGTCTCCTTTATTGAGCCAGTTTATACTAGAGCGTACTTTCCAGAAGTCTTCTTCGATTTTTAATATATTGTTGTAATCAGACTCGAGGGAAATTTCTAGGTTATTAAGGGAAATACTTTGACCATAGGATCTAGACTTCTGAATCCCTGTTAGTCTTGCCAAGATTTTTTTCTTTCTCTTAAAAAGGTCTGCAAATGTTGTATTTTTCCATTCAATAATACGATTCCTAAAATTGTTGGAGGCTACAACAAAATTGTTGTCAAGCCAGAACTCATTAACAATGTTACCAAATTTGGGGTGCCCCCACCAATAAGATTCCAATCTAAATGGTTTTGGTAGGGGAGTTATGTGCTTTGGAATTAGTTCTAGAAGGATAGGATTATGATCCGAGTGGATTTTAGGCAAATGAATTACAGATGCCCTAGGGAATAACCGTAGCCAATCTTCATTTGCTAGAACCTTGTCTAGTCTTTCCATAATACGGTTACTGTTTATCTTATTATGATACGCTACCAAAAGTTATGCTTATGAAAACTGTTTCTTCTTGATGTAACTCATTTATTACTCAAGATTCTATTAAATAAGTGAAAATTCTAGAACTTAATTGAAGTCCTTTATAAAAGTGAATTCATTTATCGGTTTAAATAATACTAATTTTAAAGTGAATCTTTATATGTCCTTTATTTTGACATTTTAAAATTACTTTTTCCAAATATTGATGAAATGCAAACTATTTCTTTAATAACCACAGAAGTGTTTTTCAAATATATTGGCTCACAACTGTTACTTCATGATGTAGATCAAGCAGCCCCTTTGACAATGGTGTCATGATCTAAAATCTCAATCAATCGGGGTCGTGATGGCGCCTAACACCGCTTGCTAGGAAAGTCAACACTATAACGACCAAAAATCCAACTGGTCGTGATGGCACCTAACCCAACCCGCTAGCTAAGCCAATTAACAACTATCCAAATTAATGAGGTTTATCAAGAAAAGAAATGATAATACTACTGCTTTCATACAAGAATTTTCCAAGGACTGGTAGTATAAATCATGAGCGTCTCAAATTTAGATTTCTTTACAAAATGGAATTGAAATAAATACAACATCTATTTGAAATGTAAATGAACAGAATTTGAATCTAATGCTACCAAGGACTAGTGATTGCCATGACTGGAACACAGGTACATCTTCCGATCCAGCTCCCGCCGTACGCAGCAACATCAGCATCCAACATCTGCACGCAAGGTGCAGAAGTGTAGTATGGGTACAACCAACCCCATGTACTCAATAAGTAACAAACCTAACCTTAGGTTGAAAGTAGTGACGACCTGGAACAATGGTCGGAGTCCAACACCAATAGCCAACAACAGTTCATAACAACATAATAAAAGTGATAAAAGAAGTAACTCAGAGATATAATACTCAGCTCGTTCACAATTCCAGAAAATGGGCATGCTTTCAAGTATATTAGTGAAAACCCAAATCTTGTAAAACTGTGATTTTCCCCAAAACTTTCAACAGGTAAATGTTTTATTTTCAAATGGCATGAGGAAAATACATCTCTATGCGTACTTGTTAATGTGTACCTAAAGTCATGAATGACACAATACCGTACAACATAAGGAAAATGCATCTACGCCTGTATGTCAAGTGTGCATGTCAAATGCAATACAACACAGTGAATAAACCATATGCATACTCCTAGTGTATCAATTCACTCAGTCCTCCTAGTCACTCAGCCCTCACAGTCACTCAATCCTCACAGTCACTTAGCACTTGCTCTCGGCACTCGCACTCACAATCAGGACCTCAGCCTCGCTCTGTCGTCAACTCTCCAGTCTCTCGGGCTCACAATATCATGAAGATCATCCTAACAATAATGATGTGATGTATCAATAAACAATAACAGAGACTGAGATATGATATGCATATGAATGCATACGACTGAGTATGTAATTACACTATAAGAGAATAATTCAACAGCAATATGACCTCAGTGGGTCCCAACAGAATAAGCATGTAGCCTAGACATGGTTTCTAACATGGATCACAGCTTAATAGCTCTAGTGCGTAGAGATTTCATGGTTACAAATAAGATTAAGTAACTACATTGTACCACAGAAATAACGGAGTCACAATTAACACGGTGCACGCCCACATACCTGTCATCTAGCACGTGCATCACACCAAACACATAACACGTAATTCGGGGTTTTATACCCTTAGTACCAAGTTTAGAAGTGTTACTTACCTCGAACAAGCCAAATCCAATACCGAACAAGCCAAATGATGCTCCAAAAATGTCATCTTGTGCGTACCGACCCCCGAACGACTCAAAACTAGACCTATATTACCTCCATTTGATGTTTCTTGGTTTGCGTGCATGGTCCATATCATTTTTCAGAAAGTTTTTGTGTAAAAATTTGAAAAAGTGATTTTTGG